GGTGAAGGAGGTTCCCCAGGAAGTTTTTGCTCCTCCCTCGAATCCCCTTTTCGAGCAACGGGTCCATACTTGGAACTCTAAGACCGTTGCGTCAGAAACACTTCTCAAGGACGAGAACACTTCTCTTCGACTTGAAGATGATCCAGGTAATCCCCTAGCAGATTAGTCGAGTGCTCGTGCGTTTCTTTGTTTTTGTTCAGAGTGATTATTACTGATATCGAATATGATTTATGTTGTGATTTTCTTGCAGAGGTACCCAGTTTCAACATCCCTCCGAGGAAAACTCCTATAAAAAAGAAGACAGGAGGTGCTTCTGGCTCAACCGGGGGCCAGGTCGAGGGATCGACCACCTCCTCGGGGTCTCAACCAGAGCCGCAACTGCGGTCACCTCCCCGAAAGACCCCTTTTGTAACACCCCGAGTTTTATTAATAAAGGAAATACTAGCTTTTAATATTAAGCTAGCCTTTGTTAATAAATAGTTATGTTCATGTTCAAGATCAAGAAATTCAGTCAGTTATACTCCAAATTCGACTATTAGTCGATATGTTATTCGGTTGGACAAATCGAATAAGTTTTCAGATTTTAATTCCGATTCATTTAATTAGTTAATGAGTCTGGAATTAATAAGTCAAGTTGACGAATTATTCGAAATATTTATGTTCGGATTAATCGTCTAAGTCAAGAATATTCGAATTAACTTTCAAATGTCATGATCATGTTCGGAATAATATTCCGATCGTTAATCCAGTTAAAGTTCCTTACGTCAAGTTCAGTTTATCTATACTGTGACGCATTCACATTGGTACACCGTCTATCGTTAATTAAGTAATGGTTATTAGCCCTTGCTTAATTAACTTAATCATGTTTAAGCTAAGTAATCGAGATTAAGTTAAGATAATCATGATTAGCTTAATGTTAATTAAGATTAATTAACATTAATGAGGATTAATTAATGTTAATCATGTTTAAGGTGCTAAGTAAGTCATTAGCATGGTTTAGCACTAAGCATGGGCAGACATGCGCATTAGTGCCTAAGCGCGCGCATTAGCCCTTAACACGCCATTAGCGCGACTAACCGAGTTTAATGCGCCTAATGTTCAAGCTTCTTCAATTTCACGTGCATTATCATAAGTCAAGGGGACACATGGAGGGCTGAGAATTATTAAAGTCATGACTAAGCATTTAAACTGATGAGTCAGCCGAGATATGCCACTTTGTTCCGTGCATGCGAAGCACTTGGTACTCGGCCATTGGTCAAGCCATCACCCCAACTTTTCCCTCGTTTACTCCGTGCAATAAGGCAGTATAATTTCAGAAAGAAAGTGGAGAATTCAGGGGATATACTTAGTAATACATTCAGCAAGAATTAAGTAAGAAATCAGCCCTAAGTTCGCACGATCATGCGATTATGCACGGGGATAAGGAAATTGTGCCCGGCTATGAGAATTCTCCGAGTACATAAGAAGGTAATTACATATTTAACTTCTTCTTATGTTAATCAAGCTATGTTCAAATTCAGTTCAGTTAGTTCATGTTGAGGTAATCATGTAAAGTTCACGATTAAGCTCGGTATTGGCCATGAGGGGTCTAACCGAGTGATTTTTAGTTCTATTCAGATTTCACCAAACAACTCATGTTTATTTAGCCAGTTTAGATCATTATATGTTCAGTTTTACAAGATGGTTCGAGGAAAGTTGTAGAATTATTCATGAATCGGTCCAAGGAAGTGGACTGCGCACCTAGCGCATGTCCACGGGCCGTGTATTTGCTCTTTATGTTATCATGGCATATGATCAGAATCATGCGAGTAACCCTAGTCTCAATAAGCTTTAAATAGCATATAAAAATCAATTATTCGAGGTCGTTCGATAAAAGTTTATGTTTTGCCAAGGTTTTGCCCAAGGAAGTGTATCGCACATGTAGTACGTGCACGCGGGCTGTTTAAGTATTGCATCGAGTTATTTTCTTTTATGATCAAGTTCACTCGAGTACTTTATTTCTCATTTGATATTAAATAAGGTATTATTCGGTGAATTTTCAATATTGTTCGAGAAATGTCACTTGTAGTCAAGAGAATTGGCCTAACGCCAAATATGCACGCACGGTGCGTGTACACCGGATACACTCCAAGTTCAGCGAGTAAAATCAGTAAAGTTTGAGGAAATTCAGCATGTATAATTATGTTTTAATTTAAGGTTATAAGTCATGATATGGTTGTCGGGAACATCCATCGAATGGCCAGTGGAAACCGTTCATAAACGCGCTGCCGTACATAGCGGTAGATGTGTGTTAGCAAGCTCCCAGTACTGGCGGTAGTGTGCGCGTGCCACAACCGTCAGCAACACACACGGGTCAGCGCATACGCGCAACCTCGTGCATTCAGTCGTCCGCAGCAGTACGCGGTAATGTCCAGCACCTGCAGCAAGCCAGCAGCGCTTGCGCTCGCTGTGCGTAGCATGCGGCAGGCCGCTGGCCAGGCCAGTGGACCGACAGTCCGGTCCAGCCCGGCCCAGACCGGTCCAGACCGGCTGGACCGGTTCAGTCCCAATATTTACGGTTTAGTCAGTATTTTGATGTTTTAAGCCCCGGTTCATGATTTGCAGTCCTAATTTCAGTTAAATTTCGGGTCCAGACCAGTTCAGTAAATTCATGTCAGTCCAGTTCCGAGTTTAGTCAGTTCCGATTATACCGGTTAAGTTCAGATATCATGTTTAAGTCCAGTAGAGCATCTCAACATGTTAAGCAGTTATTTTATTAGTCTGAGCATAGTAATTGGTAATTGTTTATATTATTTTCAGATATCAGCACTTACATTTTCAGATCAGCAGTTCAGGTGGGGACTCAGACTAAGTACTACATTGTTTATAATTGCTCTACCATGTACGAGGTATTTTCAGTATCTGCTCGGAATGGCCGCCGGTCCATTCTGGGTTCTAGTGGCCCTAGTCTGCCCACTAGAGTGTGCACATGGTGTCCGGTTCGCCGGCAGATGTTCAGT